CTCTAATTTACAAATATAATTTATGCTAATCTTGAAAGTGCTTCTCAGATACAAAGTAAAATGTGTCATCCTTACTGTATGTGTGCATAATTTATTCTGATGGGGACTACACATTTCAAAGCCATTTCAGTCTTTATACTCAGAATTTTTATATGAGCAGAGGAGCTGGATGTTCTTTGCTGTAAAAGTGAAGAAGTAGTTAAAACAACAGTAGCTGTTATCTTAGGTCAGAAAAGTTAGATGCATTAAGGGATAAACTGCTGTTTGCTCAGTCAAGCCAGATCATATACCGTCCTTGAGTTAAGTATTTTTATTCCTCTTGTGTTTCTGCTGATGATTACTCATTTTTATGATGGGCTTATAAAAATCTTCCTATATCATAGTTAAATTTTGTGACTTCTTCTCTCTTTCAGTCTCTGACTCATACAGCTTCCCTGATGGATTAGATGCATGTTACGGAAGGTAGTTCTGTGTGGGCTTGCAGGTCCCCCAGAAGGAAGAGGTCTGGCTTTCTGTGAGTGTTGTTGGCCCTGTAATTCACAGTTCTCCCTACTTCTGCAGAGGAGACTGAGTCTTCCTCAAGCACAAGGGGAGTGAGCAGTTGCTATTGAAATGCCTTGTCTTGATTGTCAGAGAAGGATGGTGGCCCACTGTGGTCCCAGGATCGCAGCAAAGAAATGGCAAAACACCTTAAAAAATGCCATATCACCAGCAGAGAACATTCCCCTTCCTCCTGCTTAGGAGGTAGAGTCTCATAATTTGGTGGAGTTCTCCTTTTAAGCTTGTGGAGAAAATCTCAGGTAAAGGTACACAGGAAAAAAAATGAAACCATACAAAAATGAGAACTACCAAGTGGTTCTTGGTGCCTGAGACATGAAACTAATCCATTGTAAGTTTGAAGTGATAAGAGAATTTCTGGATGAATACCAAGAACAAGGGTAGAGAGATAGTGGGGAAGAAAAATTAGCTGCAGGGTATTCTGACTTTACGGGACTTAGATATTCCCAAGAATTCTCCTACTCCTTACATCTGTACAGAGGGATTAAATACTCCACATTCTTTATAGTAAAAGCAGTAACACTGAGTAAAACAAAAGTTTTCACATTATTATTATTTTCCAGGAAATAATTCTGTTTCTGCCTGGACCAAGTAATGGAACTTCATAGTAAATTAAAACTGTTCTTTACAGTGCTAAATAGGAACAATGCAAATTTAAAAGACTACATCAGCTGAGGCAGACAGTCTCTGAATACTTTATTTGCCATTTGTTTTTCAGCAATATCATTAGAAGTCCTTTTCCTAAATTTTCTAACTGAACAACTTGAAAATATATTCCTAGTCAATGAGAACTTCATGACTCATGGCAAAGCAAGATGGAAATGACCTGGCCTGTACTTAGTCCTTTTAGTATATTTTGTGTTAATTTTGAATGCTTAGCCTTCCTCTATAATTTTCCCTCTTGTCATGTGTAATAAAATGAATAATAGAAAAGACTTTTCCCTCTGTAGTTCTTCAAACACATAAACATTTCAATTATTCTGTGTTGTAGGCTGGTGAATGCTCCACTAGCTACTTGAGAGAATAGGGCAGGCAGAGCACAATAAGCTGAGCTATAATGTGTGCAGGACTGTAATGACTGCAGTTTCTGTGCAGGCAGGCTGAAACCACACATAGGAGCAGCAGGTCAGTACCGTTTTATGTTAGCCCAGGTCTGAACTCAGAAATCTCAGCTGCCAGATAAAGCCTATATTGGAGGTATAACAAGATTCCTCAGATCCATTAGCTGGAGCTGCTCTTCATATTTTAGACATGAAAGCTGAAATCCACTATTACTGTCTTAAGTCAAATCCAGCCATTTTGTGTAATGATTCAATTCCAGTACTGTGTGGAAGAGAAAGAGGGATGGAAAGCTCTTACCTTCTAGTGCACCCCAGGAGGGAGTGTGTAATCTGGCAGCAGTCAAGGGCCTACATCAGTTGTTAGGTGGGCTTTAGAGAAGCCCTGTTATGTGCTTTGGAAAGAAGAGCTGCTTCAGAACGTTACTCTGAAGAGTGTCTGGAGCCAATCTCACTGCACTGCCCTTATTTCCATTCACCGTAGTCCCAGTCACTAGACCTTGGCAAATGCTAAAGTGCATTTTCAGCACTAAGTCAGCTTTGCTGTAAGTGTGTAACGTGAGTGATTGTATGATTAATTTTGTATTACATAATTCATGTATCTTTTTGTAGACAACTGTCTTGAGCTTTTAACGGTTACTTGAACACTGTACATAATTCTTTGTCAGAGAAGCAGTTGAACCTGGCCAAGTTCAAATTGAAACTTCCCAGAGGAATAATCCCAATCTGTATTTCCATATATATTAATAAACTGTATAATACTTGCAGCAACTCACATAATACAGTTTGGAAATGAGATAGAACTCATTATCAGTACAATAAGGAGCACAGGCTCTTTCCTGTCAGAAATAATGGAGTGAGATATACACAATTATTTTCCTCGCTGTCTCTGTAGTCATTTATGCAGCAAGGTGCAAATAAATCTTTCTTTGCCTGTTGTGCTCTAGTGGGACACACACCAGCCCCAGCCAACTCTTGTGGTTGCAAGCTAGGAGGAGCCAATAAATCCTTTAATTCTGTCTGGTTTTGTGGTGTAGCATCAGCAGCATAGTGCATTGCAAAGCTGTGTTGCAGAAGTTCAAATGTGCTTCAGCGCACTGCTGCCTGAGGGTAGTGGATGCTGCATTTTAAATCTGCTGTCCTTTTGTAAAGTCAAGTTGTGCTAAGAAACACCCTCTGCCTGACATCGGGAGTCACTACCAGAATAAGTAACAGACTTCAGCCTTCCATGATCCTGATTGGTGACCAGTGTCCAGGACCAAGAATTGGAAGCTAATTTTCTTCAGCTTAGGGTTTGCAGTGCTTAACCGTCAGCTGAAGGTTGGCTCCTACGCTCAAAGAGACACAGGCTTTTTTAAATGTTGTTGAAATGAGGGAAATAGTGCCCTGCTGTTTTTGTCTGGTAGCTGAGCGAAGGATGTAGAACAGCAAGATCTGCTCCATCTACACCTGCAACCTCTCTCTGATCTGACAAATAAGTTTTTACACTGTTTTGTGTATTCTTAGGAAAAGAGTCAAGCCTGTCACCTAAGCGGAATCTCTGCAAGTCCATCCAGAACAGGATCTGCTCTATAGTGTGTGCTCTAAATACCTCCCACAGCACTAATTGAGTAGTGTTACCTGGTAAGAATTTTCATGTCAGAGACATAGCAAACCAACATTTTTATTTGCTAACTGTGATTTATCCAGTGGACTTACACAAGGAAGCAGATCTCCCACGTGCGTTCTTCAGTGTGTTTGGATAGTAATCTTCTTTAAAGAATTTGACAGGCCCTTTTTGTAGTCCAGCATCAGAGGATTATATTATTTTCAGAGCAACTTATGAAAGATTAGCAGAGGCATAGTTAATAATTTAAATTAGCCACAGTTTTTTTTATTAATCTTCAAATTAACGAGTTCTACCTTTTGATCTTTCTGGCTGCAAATCCCTCTGGAATTGATGCCAATTAGGATTCAGTAATAACTTGGTTATGAACATGGACCAGTGTGTGCATGTGGGTGTATGCACGTGTGTATGTACATGTGCAGGTAGGTGTCAGAGCCCCTTGAGAGTGGCACGTGTTCAGTTAGACCTGTTCAGCCATTGCCAGTTTGAAAAGTGGACCTCTCCACTAGTGGAATTTAAGTACAAATGAAAGGATAGTAACAAGTAAATGGAGGTTCTGCTGTTCACTGTTGCACAGTGCCAATCTGACACTTTTAAGACAATTAGATACAGATTGTATATAACCTACAAAGAAGGTAGGGACAGTGTCAGGGAATTAAGTGACCTTATTCTTCATATGAACTGTTGAGATATAGAGTTGTCTTTTTAAAGAAGGCAATAGCACCAAATACACTGCACCAGCCCAAGGAAACATTGAATAGGAAACTTACAGAAGCATAGATTGATCCTGTTCAGGGATTCCCTCTATGAGAAGGGTAAACAGGAGGTAATTAGGGCTTTCTGCTACTTTGCAGATCTCATACTGCCATTTCTGTATGCCTGTGATGGTACCATTTCAAACCTCCTGGCAAACAGGCCCATGTTGACCCATGTGTGTTGCTGAGTTTCTTTGTATAGTCACTGTTTTGCCGGACTTGAAATGTGCTGCAAGTTTACAGGGTAAGCGCCAGTAAGAGCTGCTTTTCAGAACTGATAAGCATGCATGAGTAGAGCAGAAATAGTACCAGGTTCTCAGTCCTGCCATCCACAGTACAATGTAATACTTGGTACGACAGCACTTGTTTCAGCTGAGATTTCCCTGTGTTTCTGAATTGCTGGGGGTTATTTTCTTCCTGGTGTCCCACAGTCCATTGCCTTTTCATGCTTGTATCATACTAGTCTGATGCTGCCCGTGTTTACAGCTTCATGTGGATTTGATGAGATATTAATCTTTGGCTTCCTATATACAAGTAATTTTTAGAGCATTTCTTTCTCTTACTATTCTTTAATCTAAAGAAAATGATTGATTGGACCCCATGAGCTTTGTTTCCCATGGTACGTGAGTGTGGGGGAGTGTGGATCAATACATAATGTTGCATTTCTAAAGCAATATTCTTTGCCCTACTCACAGTATCTTATTTTCTCAAACTTTTCTGATGTCCTATGTTTGAAATTTGTTCTATAGATGATTTTTAGTCACAATACAACAAAACCTAAACAAAAGCTTTTCTTGACTTTGTGTAAAATCTTGAGTGCATAGCCATGTATGTACGTTTCCGTTGTTGACAACATATGATGGAAAATAGATCATTCTAGTAGTTATCTTAAAAAAAAGAGTATTGCTTCTGTCCAAATTTAAAAGTTCAGTCTGCTCAGCACAGACAGAACTGATATCCTGGTTGTAGGTACAGTTCAGGCAAAGGTGGATCCTTTATATATATGCATATTTTCTCTTACAGAATAGGTGGAGAAGTAGTGAGAGGAAATGAAGGAAGCTATGTGGGCAAACATTTCCGCATGGGATTTATGACAATGCCTGCTCCTCAGGACAGACTGCCACATCCTTGCTCCAGTGGCTTTACCGTGAGATCCCAGTCCCTTCATTCTGTTGGAGGAACCGATGACGAAAGCAGCAGCTCTCGTAAGCAACCACCTCCAAAACCTAAGCGAGACCCCAACACCAAACTGAGCACCTCATCTGAAACAGTCAACACTGGAACAACAAGTAAAAGTGGGAAACTACCAGACAGGACTGAAGGTAAACAATATAAATGTTGTTATTATTTTTTTAAAAAAGTTTTTTGGTGACTCAGGGTCAAAATTACCCAGCTGAAAATCTAGTTTTTAAGAATTATCTGCAAGTTTCTCCAACTGTGAACAGTGTCAGCATGCATATCCGAGATCATTGTTCTCCAAATGTTGTATCAGTGGGTAATTGCCAACCTTAGATATTTCTCACAGAACTATATCACTTTATGTGGCCAGGTGACATATAGGGAATGAGTTGAATTTATTAAAAGGAAAGTGAAAAAGATACTTCTATCAGATGGTGTGTAGGACAATGATATCTGTGTGTCAGCCAAGGACCACTCAATGTATTACAAGCACTGTGCAAACCATAGCTTTGGAAGGGGTCCTTTTCAACAAAGAAGTGAAGGACAGAAGTAATTAGAAAGAATACTGCATGGTCCTGAAACTCTGTGTCAAGGAAATACCATCCAAGGGTAAAAATTTTACCCAAGATGATATAATGTATTGTCTGAAACTTATGTTTCTATCTGAGCCTACGTTTTCTCTTCCCATTCCTCCCAGTTACATTTAGCTAATGCAGCATTCAGAAGTAAATAAACCAATGTGTTGAATAAGGATATCAGTTTTTTACTCTGAACTTCAGAAGACGAGCTAATGCTATGGGTACTTTCTCCTTCCTTTGTTCTGTGCTGGAAATGCATTTTGTGCAGCAGTAGGACCAGCTGTACTCCCTGCTAGGAGATATCATGATGACTGTGTCACAGTGTGAACTCTAAGAAGGAACCCTTAGGAACAACTGATCATTGCTGGTCTTTCCCACTGCTAAGTTACATATCAGTTTTGACATCCCATGTGGTATGTAGTGCTCTTAGTGTGTATCCTTTTGGTTTGTTTTTGTGGTCAGAAGTACTTGTTACTTACATTCATGCTACAACCCTTCAAGCAAATCTGAATTTAGAAAGTCATCAGTGATAACAAAGGTGCAAAGCAATGTATAATTCAAATGCTGGCACGTATGTCTGTAATTGCAAGGTTGAACACAAATGCTGAATATAACTGTAGATTTATTTGTGCTGTTGTTGGTACTCATCTTACATATGATGTTTACCATTATTTCCATAGCTTGTTCTCTACAGTGACCATTACATTGACTCTACTGAACAGGCTAACATGATAAATCCAAGCATTCAGTAGCTGCCCTTAATATAAAAGCAGCTTATCACAATTTTATTAGACCAAACCCTACATAGAAACCATTCAGATTTGCGCTGCAGGGAAATTTAAAATCTAATCTCAGAAAGTCTGCTAAATCTTTCATATATTGCAAGAAGAGAATGCATGACATGAACTTCTGGGTATGATATGGTTTCTCTGAGGTGAAAGACTGGAGCTTTTAAGTTACTTAAAAAACAACAACAAAACAAACCAGAACAAACACCATTATATACGTACTTTTAAAATAATTCCTTAATCTAGCACTCTTTCTTCCTGAGTCTGCACAACCAGAGTTACTGAGGCAAAGTGAAGTTTGTTTTGCAGACAGGGCAGTAAGAGAGGCTCTAACGTTTTCTAAGTCATGTAACGAATAGCCCTGCAGGTGCACATTGAGTCACTCAGTATATTGAGCTTTTTGGTACAGCTGATCTTGTCATTATGTCTAGGATTTTTAGGAATGAGGTCTGTTTTACATCCATTCCTCAGTCCTTTCCATAATTTACTGAGAAGCATGAGACTTTGACAGCCTTAAAGGATCAATAATCATAATGGTAATTGAAATACACCCAAGCATTTTGCCAGTCTTACAAAAGTTATGGCAGACTCCTTAAGCAGCCTTGTGTCCTCATGAAACTAGATCTTCTTCAGCGTTATTATTGTGGAAGTTTCTGAAAATTTTGTTTCATTTCCCTCATATTTTCCTGCCATTTGATATTTGGCACCAAAGATGTAATATGTAGTCATGTCTCTTCTGACATATTTCAAAGTTTGTAATGGGTTATTTCTTTTTCCAAGGCCAAGATCCACTTTGCTTCCTCCTCCTCTGTGCAGGTTGAGCTGTCTGTCCATCACACAATGGTTTTGAGTGGTATGTGTGTTATTGTAGCAGTATTCACTTTGGATGGTCTGTATAACAGTGGTACTACTGACAATGGTACTATTGCAGAGTGCCTTGGATTCGTTATTATAATTAGGAACTGAATATTCATAGCAAGATCTCTGGAAATAAATGGTGAATGAGTAATACTCCATTACTAGCACTAAAGGTAATACCTGCATGTGACATTTTAGTGTGACTAAACATCTTCATGGAATATTGAGAATCTCTGTGGTACTTCATATATGACATTTATTATATGAATTCTGCTGGTGTATTATATGTAGTGCAGCGATGAGCACTTTTAGACTATTGTGAAGAAACTCCTGAGGATTTTAAATTGACAGAATCCATTAACCATACTGTTGGTTTTGTGTGTTCAGAATTTCTGCCCTGTTTCTATGTGTTGAGTTTTATACATGCCTGATTTACAGGGCTTTCACCAAAGACTTTGATATGTAGAAAGATCAGATTACAGGGTTTTCTTTAAATAAGCAGTCAAATTTAAAAGTCTAAGATACACTCAAAAGTGGTACAATACGGTGTTTGGATGGACAGGCTGATTTCTAAAATGCTTTGCTGGCATCCAGAGAGGCTCTATTTTCACCTGTGCACTGCAATGATAACATTTGTTTTGATGAATGTATTTTCACAGTGAAGCTCTGATTCCACCAGTGTGGTTTTCATATGCAAGTGATTAAGTTTTCCATATCTGGTATTTCTCATTCTAGTATCAGTCTTTGAATTCAAGAAATTGGAAATTTGTATCTTTCCAATTTGAGGTGAGAGAGTTGATAGGATACAACATTCATGTTCTCCTAGGAATGTATTTGGAAGCTCAAGTCTAAGAACATGCAGGTTTAACTTTCAGTCACTGTTTTCCATATGGTACCCAAATATCTATATATGCATGTGTCTTACACATTTGCTTGTGGTATTTCCAGGCTGAATGGCTGCAGTTTTTTCTAGGAACTATGGAAAACGATGAAAACCCTCTATTGTTTCTCCATCAACCATTGTGAAATCTCTTCAAAGGAATTGTCACAAAAATGTTCCCAGCTCATTTGGCTTTTTTATAATGTCTATTGTCTGTGGCCACTTTGAAAAGGAATTTGTTACATTTCCTAGGCAACCAGGGACAGCTTCACTATTCATTTTTATTAAACTTGTTTCATTTTTGCTTTTTAATAATGGTCCAGTTTATACAAACAAGAGCAGTTTCTTATGGTAACTTTTACACTTTTCCTGATTGTGGTAAAGTCAAAGTATTGAATCCATCTCATCATAACTACCATAACATTGAGATATGTTTTGAATATGAGCCTGACTGTACTGCAGAACAAAGTGGCAAAAGAAATTTGCTGATGAACTTGAAAGACCTTTCCCTCCTGAAGCACAAATAGCATCAATAACAGCCACACTGGATCAGTACACTTTTCCTGCTTCCAAATTTGTGGGAGTGTGAGAATCTTCCTTAAAGTTGCGATGACACTTATTAACCCTGTCTCATTGTGCAGCAGTGTCATAACACTTTGGTTTGTGTGTTTCATCCCAGTCTACCTTGGCTCTGCCTGACAAAGCATTCTCCAGCCTAAAGGCCTCCTTCTTTTTAACTTGCCTTTAATTTTGTTGGTGTGTTTCCACACTGTTGTGTTCTGTCTTATGCTTCAATATTCCTTTTTTACTCTTCCGGCTACCCCTCATATGCACCCACTGAGCACCTCCCACCCAATGCATTTCTCCTCCATTACAGATATCTAAAAAAGTTGTTTTTAAAAATGTGGGTTGTCTTCTCTGCAGAGTTTTCAAACTCTAGTAGGAACAGCAAACAAATGTAGCTGTGACCTATACATCACACATTGGAAGTGAAGAGAGAGCTGAAAAGGGTAATTTTAAATAACTCTTCAGTGTGGAAAGCATATCTAATCTTGATCCTGAAAGGCTCTTTATTGAGAAAATGTAGGAGTTTAATTAATTGATGTGCTTTTAGTGCCCAATCTGACAGAAAAAAAGGATTAATAAAACAGTATAATTGATGAATATAACAACCAGCCTCAATCAGTGTTTTCTGATCTGATCATTGAAGGTTTACAGATCTACTGCAAGAAAAGTTTACAGATCTACTTACAAGAAAGGTTTATAGATCTACTGCAGTGCAAACATAAATGAGGAGAGTGAATTATAGTTTGAAAGTAAACTTTTTGTTAAAATTCTGTTTAGTAATATGAACGATGACTGTTATATAAATAAATGCCCATAAAATATATTAAATGTAATTTATACACTCATTTATGTACATTGAAAATGCAAATTGTGTGTGACTACATGTGCATACAATGCAAATTAAATGCACATAAATGCAATTCAAAACAGAGTAGCATTTTCAAAATGCTATTTCTGGCTGTAATTCTGCTCCTCTCAGAGCCCATGGGAAGTTTAGGTCTGATACATGAAAATGCTTGCAGGGTTCCCCAGCTCTTGAACTCAGTTTGTTTAGCGTTTTCTGTCTGAGTGTCATGTGTGGAAGGAGTGATCTGCTTTGCTCTTTTCTGAGCCCCTGCAGTGGAAGCCCCTCTCTGTTGCTCAGCAATCTCTAAAGGTGGGAAACTTGTACTGAAAACTTTCTTCTGGAGAAAAACAATTATAATAACTGTAACTGGGGTCACAGTCTGGCTGCTCTCTCTCATAAATCTGGTTTTCTGTCACTAGACTGGTGTCTCTGCTTGGTAAACTTGATCCCTACTACCCACATTTAACAGAACTTGGATTAAAGGGATTTAGCACTTCTGCTGGTTTTGCATGGTGCTGATTTCCTTTCATTCCCTATTTTAGCAAGCAGTGAATATAACCTGAACTTTGAAAGTGTCTTCTGCAGTAACCACATCATGTCATTCCTTATTCATGCATCTTTTCAT